ACGTCTTCGAAACTCCGCAGTCTCAGCCAGTTAAACCCATAGCGATCTCAACACCGTCGAAACGATCGATGTTGCGCGCTCCGAGCGAGTCCAAAACGAAAGGACGAAGCGAGGTTGCTTCCGATACGCGAAACAAAAGCATGACCGAACACGAAATAGCGGGAGGAACCGAAGAGGAGACTCCGGTTAAGACTAGAGGACGATCGACGTCGCGAATCGTCAGCGAATCCGCGACAAAAACTTCTCTTACACGGAACAGAACCGCGAGCACAAATCGATTGTCCGGAACGCCAAGAAAGAGAACCAGAAGTTTAAATCCCGGTAGCGCGGCTGAGAGCAGCAGCGACGTCGACGAGCGGAAACGGTCGCCCTTGCGACTCGCCATCGAACGTGACGTCGAGAGAATTCAGTTTCCTTCGGTCGAGGCGAGCGAGCCAAATAAATCCCACGCGTTCTCTCCGATCGCGGATCTGGAACTGGAGGACCGAGCGGAGCCGAAGCGGAGATCGGAGAAGCAACCCGTCGCGAGCGTGCTCGTCGAGAACGAAAACGCGACGAGGAGTCATCGGGAGAGTGCGAATGAAACGGGAATTGGGAAAGAAAACGTGCCTGAAGCGAGAAAGGACGCGAGTTCGAGAAAGATCGGTTCAGATGTCGGAAGTTCGAACGTTCTGAGGAAAGTATCCGCTCCCAGCGCGTCGCAGAGTCCTCGCGTCGCGAAGCGGAAGGGCCTGGACAGGAACGCGATCTTGGCCAGGGTCAAAAGCCTCGCGACTGCGTCGGGGACTGCGAAGGGGCAACGAAACATCGAGGACTTCTTCAGGACGGACAAACCTAGGGAGCCGGCGTCCCAGATACTCGCCAACTCGCAGAAGATGGTGGAGATTCGGCGGAAACTGGAGGAGATGAAACAGCGAGACGTCGGCCAGGACGGGACGAGTAGAAGCGACGTCGTAAAGCAACCGTCTCGAGAAGAAGCGAGGAGGAAGCTTCAGAAGAAGCCGAGACCGAAGCAGCCAAGTTCAGCCGCGAAAGAGGTGAACAGAGCCTTTCTGGTGAACGGACTGGTGTACAAGAAGCCTCGACTTCCTCGGCCTAGGAGGTGGATCACCGATCGACTTTATCGGTACCTTTGGAAGCTGATGGAACCGAAGTACAAGATGGAGACTAGAGTGGTCTCGGAGAGGTTCGTTCGCCACTTGACGGACACAACGAAGCTCATCGAGAAACAGAAGTCGTACCTGCAGTACAAGGCGGAGCTGCACGCTCTGATGAAGGAAATGGCGCGGCTGGGGATCGTGCGCACGCGTTGCGAGTTCTACAACTTCTGCCACGACTTTCTCCCGTACGACCTCCGCGTGAAAATGGTGCCTATGCTGCTGCCGGGCAACAGGAGGAACATCCCCTTCGAAGCGAGCAAGCTGCACGAGCCCATTCTGCGTGCGCGTTGAATCTTTCTATTTTTCAGTATTTTTTACTTTATTTTGAACCGCGTCGAAGGAGAATCTGATCCGGTTTTTCGTTTAAGATAGGAATTACAGTTGATGAAATAACGTGTGGTCGCGCGGATGTAGTATTTACTGGGATAAATATTAGCGATTAGACGTAAGTGTACAGTGTACTTTAAGGGACTCAATTTTCTACTTGTTTCTCGCCGTTTGTACCAGATGTAAATCAAGATTTTCTAATAAAACCCTTGTATGTACCTAATGCGTTCCATTCGATCGACCGAGTCCTGCGTGCGAGTTCCCGTTCGAAGCGTTTCCCACGCCTGGGCGGATTAACGTTGACTGCCCTTTTCCGACGGCCATCGGGGATACCCATTATCGAACAACAGAAAGTTCACGCGAGTTTCCGCGTGTCGAACTTTTCCCATTTCGCGAAAGGTGTATCGGAAGGTGGACGCGTGACGGAAATCCGAGCGGCGGTTTTATAAATATTTGCCAGAGATCGAGCGGCGGATTGACGCAACGAGCGATACGTGACGGTGAAAAGAACTCCCCGAGATTAGTCGGTTGAGCAACATTGTTACCGCGACTTTTGACCCTCGTTCGAACAAACAGATCTTCCGTCGCAGGATTATTCTTTTCCGCCCCCGCGCGTCATACTTTGCGCTTCTATTTCACCATGGTTTATCAATCTCGGAGTCCGCGTTCATCGTTCGCGCAATCAGTTTCAGTTACGATGCTCGTACGTTCGTCGCGAACTCGAGACGTAAGGAAAATATACCAGGAAAATTGGAAAGGCCGAGAAAGCGAACGCTGTTTCCCGCAGGGCGAGACGAAGCGAGGGGTGAGTAACTTGTAGCCAAAAAGCGAGAGCGCGGAGGGTCGTCCCGGTGCTCGGCGAACCGCATCGATTAACCAAACGAATTTCGCCGAGTCTCGTTTGAAGTTTAATCTCTAATGGAACGGCCGTCGCAATTAGGCGAGACTTATTTCCTCGCGCACCACCTACCCGGTAATGTTTGAACGAGCATTTGCGGACACGTGGCGAGCGCACGCGGCGCGCGGCGCGCGGCGCGCAGCACGCGTCCCTCGTTACTCGATCGGCGTCGCCGATTGTTTCCCTCGAAAGCGATTAAGTTTCGTTCCCATCGCCGCTGGCCAATCGCGTCCGATGAAACCGCGGTTTCGCTTTCGCGCGTTAACACTTTGACTGGCGAGCAATCGCTCGTCGAAACGATTTTCTTTGTTCGACGGAAACTAAAAGGTCAAGATCCTTCGTAACGATTGCTCCGCGATCTTTCCTGTATCTCGCGCATCCAACGGACGTCGGTTCGTTCGATACGTCGAGAGGCGAGGTCGCGAACAAACGTAAACAAACGTAAATAAACGCGCGATCGCTCGAAACGCGTTTACGTCGCGTCTCGGATTCTACCATCCCGCTGTATGTCTAGGACACGACTGTGCGCCCGTATGTCCCTCGAGAAACGAAGTTGCCACGCGGAAACGTGGCTGTGGCGTCTCGTTGATCCTTTGGCCCGGCGACTCGTGACCTTATCGAAAAGGAAAGGGTAGCGAACAAAGACCGACCCGTCGGAGCCGCATTCCTTTCGCCAGGTATTCTCGCCGTACCACCCACCCCGGCCGCGAGCAACGAGCTATCGAACCAACAGTTTCGGGGCAAGAGCCACGAGCGAGAGGTACATACCCCGCTGACGTCATCGGTCGAATTGCTCGCCGCTGACGTAACTCGAATGACGGCATTGGGAAATTTCGCGCAACCTCGCGAATTCTCGCGTGGCTCCTCGGTCGATTTCGCGCGCAAAGCGATCGAAGAACGCGGAATCGAGGCGAGGGCGACGGGGTCGAGCGGAGGAGAGCGCTCTCCCGACGGACGAGTAGCCGATACATCGGCGTTCGTCGGGGCGAGGGAGCAACGAGCAAAGAGGGGG